CTAAAGAAAATTTGAGAAATATTTTACAACCTGTAGTATATGTTAATGCATTCCAGGGTATATGCTCTGATATACAAAATAATTTCAAATTTTGTAAACAACATTCTCTATCACTATCATTAAATTCATATACAATATTCCATCCCAATGGTCCAAATTTTTTTCGTTCTTGAATAATTGCATGGAAGAAACAAATTCCGAATATAAGTTTGCGCCAATTTTCCTTTAAAACTGTATTAAATAAAAAAATTAAAATTGTTAATAATACTTTATGTTTCAATTATTAAAAATTTTTTTTTTACTGTGTTGTTCAAAAAATTCCTCGTCCAAATCATATAATGCTCTCTTAATATTGGCTTTTAGACCTTTTGGTGGCTCATTAGTGACTTTCACAGAATTCTGAAGAACAGAAACTGGAAAAGCTTTGCTTGGCATCGAACTCAAAAATAATCGAAAATCATTATGAATTACTCCTTTTGGTTCTTCAGCAATTGCCATCACAATTTGTTCCATATTGACCATCCATGAAGTAGCTAAATGGCAATTTTGTAAAAATACCCATCTGCCTTCTACAGTACCTGTTCGTATATGTCCTTCTGCAATAGGACCTTGACCTTGTCCTAAAGAAATTGAATCATATCTATTGGAGAAATCCATTTCATGTGCAAATTTTTGAAAAGCACTGAAAGGATCTGATCCAGTTGTGAGTATAAAAATCAATGGTATTTTGCATGATGTATCTGCAAATCTGAAAATATTCAGTAATAAATTTATTGGTATCAAAACAATAATTTTGAATATATACAATTTTTGTATACATACAAAAGTTGTAATGTTACCATAGGTGATTCCACAAATTTAGGTCCCAAATGTTTTGATACATAAGCTGTGATAGCAAAAATTAAATGTTCTTCTCTCAAAGCTTTTAGCAACAGTAATTTTTCAATATCAGTTAGATTATTATTCCAATCGTAAGCAGCAATTTCTTGATTGGTAGGAATTATATTAATATCCTAAAAAAAATCGAAATGTTATATTATTCATAATCAAAATTGAAATGAAAATAAAAAATGGTATATTACTTCTTCAAAATATCCAATAGTTACTATAATTTCTTTAAATGCATCAGTTAAAATATTTTCAAAGCTATCGAATGTCTTTGCTAAATAATTGATTGAAGTCCATATTGTAGTTGTTAAAGTTGGATAATCTGGCATTTCTTCCTATTTGAAATTCAAATATATAAATTCAAATATTTAATAATATTTGAAAGATATTAATTATAAGCCTTAAGACAAAACATATAACTTACAACGACAATTCGTGTAGGTCCTCTTAACAAAAAATTCCATTGTACTAGGGATACAATCTCATCATTCATATCTATTGCAATATTGAGCATAAAACTGAATACTAATTTATGTTTCTCAAATAAACCTCGCGAAACATTTGTATAGATAGCTAATGTTATTTCATTTAATAATATTTGCAAACGTAATTGTAAAATATCTTCTTTTTTAGTAGTTTCAATTATCGTATTAAAGATCTAATAGAATGTTGAAAAATGTTAATGTATTAAATTGCATATTTGCAAATTGCAAAAATATAATTATTCATCATATTATTATTTACTTGATTAAAGTATTTTAATGAGAATTGATACATGGGATCTATGTTTGCAAGATTTGCAACTACAAAATACAAAACTGATCCACGATTTGCAACAGATCGATATTTTTCACGCGCAATTGATATATTTTTTTCAGTCGTTTCACTTTCAATTAATCTCATTGCGATAATTGCCGAAGTTTCTTTACTATCATTTAAAGTTTCTATTAGCTCCTCGTTGTCCAAAATATCATCGCCTGCACCATATAACAATGTTAAAATTTTGTCTTCAATGCTTTGCAATTGACCTTTATCTGCATTGATTTTTATTATTAAGTAATTTCTCATTGATTCAAGATCTGGCCTTTCCAGACGTACAACATCTCTATATAAAGTTTAAGAAGATAGAAAATTTAAAAATTAAATATACATGTTTTGCATTTAGATAGATTATTTATTATTTAGATTACTATAATAAAATACATACGCGAGTAATTGTTCTTCGAGACCGCCTACGGTTACAGTAAAATTGACTATTGTTACTTTAATACAAATTTCTGGTAAATAATGAGGATTTGCGATTTTCGTTGTAATATATAATTTAAAATTATCATCATACTCGACATCTGTATCGCCAAATCTTATTAATGTTCTACCACCCTATATAATTATATCAAATAATGTTATTAAAGTAATCGCATAAATAATAAATAATAAATAAATATATACCAAAATGAAAATTTGTTTAAGCAGAATTGGTTCTAAACTTGGATCCAATACTTCTCCTACTTCCTGAATTAATACAGGAGTTCCAAGTCGTATAGATGCCTCTAGTACTCTCATTAAATTTGTATCTGTCAGTTTGCATATTTTTAAGTTATTGTCTTGTTCCATATTTCGTATCCACCTATTTGCCTTAAAAATAGAATATATTTACAAATAATATCAAATATTAAGTTCGAGTATATTTCATATGCTATAAAAATAATTACTTGTTCTTGAGGATCAATCATTAAAGGCCAGCGAGTGGATTGTGTTACAAAAATACCATTTTCTATACTGACTTTATCTCGTGGTAAACCATACGTATTCCATTGACGAATTTCATAAGGATCAACTAATATTGCAATGAGACTATAATTTTCTGTAGTATCAATATCGTAATTCTTGCAATGAGATAACCAAGATTCTATCAATTCTTCTCTGTATTCATTTGTAAAAGCACCCAGATAAGCAAGAGCACCAGCAGCTATCAAAATATCACCAGTCAAATTGTTAATTTGCTGTTCAAAACCCTAAACATTTACATAAAAAAGAAATTGATTATAATTCATTATATTATATGTTTTAATACAATTATATATGTTAAATACAATTTTTTTTTATCATACGCGTGTTAACTCTTCCCATAGAACTCGTTCATCCACTAATGCAGATGTCAATCGTCCAGATCTATTCAATCTTGTTTCTGCTAAATTCATTTCGGCTTCTAATTTATTCAAATTTTCTAGAGCTGCATCGTATTGCTGTTGCAATTCTATGATTTTTCTTTCCACTTCGGCAAGTTCTTGTTGTTTTTTAGCAACTATTGCCTCTATGGCATTTAACTCTTCTTCAGCTTTCTTTAATCTATTAATAATTATTAATTTTAATTAATAATTTAATAATTATACCAAGATTTTTTGCTTTTATATATAAAAATATATTTATATATTTATATATATTACAAAGTTTTCATTCAATTTACCTCTGTCGTTTTGGTTCGACTACTCTGTAAATCTTAGCATAGCCATTTATTGCTCTTACCCAAATGCACAACGATTTACAAGCTTTACTTTGTCGAGCCACTAAATCTGGTTGAAATTCTGGATGATTAATATAATCTTGTAACTTTTCTAAAAGTTTGTCACTTATTTCGTCCTTAGGATAATTAATTAAGCGATCAAGAAAATGTATATCGCCCAAAACAAGTTTGGCAGAGGCCCAATCTGTTCTAAAATGAAAATTTAATTATAGAAGTAAATTGTATACATTAATTTAAATATTTTATAAAACTTACTTTTCACCCAATAACAAATTCACTGCTTCCATAACAAAACGTACCAAATGAGGTGGTTGTATAAATACACGAACCTCGTTAATATCTCTTTTATCTAAAGCTTCTAATGCCTTTTGAGCTTCTAATAAAGCTGGCATTGCTGCTTCTAAATCTTGTCTAGCATCAGCCTCTAAAGCTGCTGTTTCTTCTCTTTTCGCCTGAAAAAATAAAAGTATATATTCGATATTTAAAGTTTTATTATTTTTTTTTTTTATTTATTATATTACTTATACTTTTGCTACTGCTTCTTCAGCAGTTACAACAAATTTCACTTTATCGACTTCGATTTGTTGCTTTGCAAGAATTTTTACCAGCTTTGATACTTCCTCAGTACTTGCTTTTAATTTTGGAGCAAGAATAATCAATTGTTCTTTCATTATACCAACCATTTCGTTAGTTTCTCGTAATTTCTGACCAAATAATAAAAATATTAATCATTATTGTTCGACGATTTTAATTTTTTATTTTTATTTTAAAAAATATATAATTCTGTCAAATATTTTTTAAAGAATTTTTTTTTATTTAAATAATTAAATAATTATGAATTAAAAAATCTCAGTTATTATTGATATAAAAAATTTGATATTGAATATAATTAATTAAAATGTAAATAATCATATTCATGTAAAAAGACTTATAAAAATAAAAGTTTAATTCGATAAATTTTGATTTTTATAATAAAATTATCAGTAATAACGAATAAAATAATTGCATTTATATTTTAGTAATAATCTTTTAAAATAAAAAATTTAGAAATACAAGAAAATTTAAATTTATTTTACTATATTAATTAATTAAATAATTATATTAAAACTATATATTATATTTACATTAAGACCATTGGCGATTTTACTTTTCAGTAATTCTATTTCTTTCTTTCTTCTTTTAAAAGTTGTTTTAAACATCTTCAAAAGTTCTAAATAACTACTTGGTGTAGTATAATACCTTCGACGCATTTCTAGGAAAAATCGAGTTGTCGCTTCTTCTACACTCTATAATTTTATATCATATATATTTTTGAAATTGAATATTTTTGAATGTTCTTCATTTCGATATCTATCATAATAGCAATATTTATCATAATAATAATATCTATCATAATAATATACCTCATGGATTAAAACACAAATAGTAGCAAGATTGATACGTTTTGATGAATCTGTTGGAACGATTTCGATTAATGAATTATCTGCTACTGATAAGAGTGCATCATTTGGCCATTTTGTAAACCAATCAATCGTGCAACAATTTACTAATGATGGAAACATACGACAACGGTGTCTATGAAAATAATCAATCATAAATAATAGTTTAATAATAAATAATTACCAAATAGTAGAATATTTTAATCTTTGGATATAATCATTTTTCCTAAATTATAAATCATTTTAAAAAAATGTTTCTCTGACGATTAAAAAATTGAACACTTCCGAAATTGATAATCGTTCTTCTAAATAGAATCATATAATTTTTATAAAAAATAATGATAATAAAAAATAGTGAAATAGAGTGAAAATAGAGATATATTGATTGGTGAAAAATAATTCCATTTAAAAAAATAATGTAAAGAAAAAAAAGTATATTCACTTATAAGATTGTAAATGAGTAAGTGATTTTAAGTATTGATTACAATATAAGTTCGGTTTGAACATTTCTCAAAACGACTAGAAAAAAATAATAAATAATGTTCGAAGATTAAAATCTAATATAAATAATTAATATCATAAAGAGATTAACCTAAAAGTGTCACCTATAGGACTCATACAGATCATTAAATGAAGGTGATTTCTAACTCTTGCAATAAAATATTGGTAAATTGCATCTCTATTTGCTTCAGGAATTCCTATTTCTTTTGCTGCAGGCCTTGTAGCTATGATAACTTTTTCCAATTCATCTGCTTCATATAAATTTGGTACTTCGCCTGAAACAAACAATTATTATACAATTATAATTATAAATTAATAATAAAAATTTTATACGAATAATTGAATAATATTTTTGATGATAATTTTATTTAAATAATATGAACAACTCAAATTACCAGTATTAAGAGTATTATTAATATCTTCTAAAAAATCTTCTAGCACAATTTGAGTGTCTGTGAATAAAAACGTCGTGTGTTTAGCGGCAGTACCTGGTTCGAAATAAAATCGGCGAAGGTCTTCTTGCCATGAATGTTTATCGTATGTACGTGTAACTTCTATTTGATAACATCTTAAAACATTCGAGTAATTATGATAAATTATTAATCGCGTTGTTATGTAATTGTAAGAGAATTATTTATATCAATTAATAACGATACAAACTTATAACCATTTAAATGAGACGCTAATCTCGTCAAACTTTGTTTTCCCATTCCACCGACACCTACTAAAAGGCCGTTGCCTCTTTCAGAACGAAGAATTCTTGCAAGTCTGCAAATATGTTCTATAGCATCCATGAAGAAAATGAGTCTCATATCTTTTCCAACAGAAAAACGGTAATCTTCTAAATAATCCTGTGATATGTAAAATCAAAAATATAAATCAAATATTTAGATTAGCATTAGCATGAGTATGTAATGATTCATCATATATTTATTCACACATTATTATATATTTTATTTATCTCATTTTAAACAAATTTACAAATGAATATCAATATTATCAATTGCTTTCTTATTTAATTTCTTATTTAATCATTTACTATTTATGTTATATATAAAAACAAAAAAAAAAAAAAAAGAAAAAATGTATTAACTTTATGTAAATGAATTTTTGATTATTATGCAAATAATGTAAATAATGTAATGAGTATGTAAATAATAATAATTAAATAATAACAAACCTCCAAAATTGATTTAACTTTTGGGATTTCAGTAAGTTCTTCGTAAATTCGTTGCTCCCTCGCCGCTCCAAAAGTCATAAAGTCACCAAACAGTAACATCGGTGGTCTCTCGATAATTTTTTCATCCGGAAGTCGCAACACTTCTATACCAAAGCTAGTTAAACATATGGTATTTAGGAGTCTATAGAAATAAGTTTTATCTTGAACGTTGATTAATCGATCATGGAAAACTCGAAGGCATTCGTGATAAAAAAGTCTAAAAAATATAAACATTTTTTTATTATTTTTTATTATAAATACTTTTAATTATATTAATTGATATATAAATATTTTTAATACATATATATTAGTTGCAGTATTTAGAATATACCTGTACATTTCATTAGGTTGTTTAATAACAGTGGCATCAACTTGCATAATACCTTGTATACATTTCGATAAATCTCGTAAATTAAATATATAGTGACTTTTTTCTGGAGTAGGCAAAAGATCTGTCTCTATAGTTAAATAAATATCAACAGCTGCGTTCACTATTCTTTCCCCGATTTGTTTAACAGAATCTACAAATTCTTCTAAAAATCCGGTTATAATTGATTTGAATATTCCTTTTAGAGAGATATCTGTAGGTGCTGGAATAAACAGCATTGCGAAATGTCTGACGAATCTTGGTGTCAGAGGATTTCTACCACCTCCAGGAGGAGCACAAGCTACGGTAAAAACAACGTCCTCAACATTCTTCCAGAATAATTTTTCTTTGTCGTACATTCCACCAAAATCCAATAATTGTCGTAAAAGTTCGATTGGTGGTTGAGATCCATATGTATCTAATTTAGGCATATTGACATCATCGACAAATACACACACTCGCTTTCCAATAGGTGCTCCTAACACAGTTTTTTTTCTTTTCTCCAGTTTAAGTTCCAAGATCTCTTGCGTTCTTCCACTACTAGTTTGAGCCGAGAAGATTAAATTAATTGGTACCCAAAGATTAGTATCCTCCAATTCTTTTAAGATTACTTTTGTTATTACTGATTTTCCTACTCCAGTATTTCCGGAAAAGAATACAGGTTTATTTATTTGGACTAATTTCTTCATCAAATAACCAAATCGTACGGTATCGATCGTTGGTACGAGGATATCAAAAAATGGTACTTCTCTATCATATACGAATTTTGGCATAATATCCATCCAAAAATCCAATCGATGCTCTGGAACATTTATATAAATATTCCACAAATCTACCGATGGCAAAAACGCATCTTCGTCATCCTTAAATTGTTCTCTTACAAAAGTTTCGATTATGCTACGAGAATTATCGTGAACGTTACCACCAATGGCCCAAAGATAAGCAAAAACGAATGACTGAACTAAAAATGTTCTGATTCGTGCTTTCTCTGTAGTTTTTTCTATCGCTTCTGGTTCGTATAAAATATATTCTAATATTGCACAAGCCATATTCGCTTTACTAATATCAACTTGCTTAATCGGACAGATGCAATTGTGAGTACAGAAGACCAATCCATTTTCGAAATATTTTTCAAAGAGTTCAATAATTAATTGTTGATATTCACTTTTAAGAATAGTATCAGGAAATTTTTCTACCCATGATTTTACATAAGGCATCCATTTTAATTCTATAGGATCTACGTATACCATTCCACAACGGCTGACGGTAGCGGGTGACGCTTGGGCAAGATCCATAACCTCAAATAACATACGCATATAAGGAGTAAACTTGATTCTTTCAGAATTAGCCAAACACAACATTTTATTATCGTCTAAAACAGTATTCATGTTCTCTATCCATACAGCATCTACAGGTCCATCGCACACAATCCATTGATGTTCTTCAGTAGTAAATGAACACGCATGACGAACTGTAGAACCAATTAATCCATCTTTCCATTCATTAGTCAATAGATCTACTTCTCCATACAATTCACCAATTGTAACTGCTTTTGGATTGATTATATACAAATTAACTGGCTGATATATTGGTCCAGGTACACCCATTTGATGAAGTCTGTTGTAAGTATTGGCAAGAGTATGAAGTACCGATGTTTTTCCTGCACCAGTAGGTCCAACTAACATCACTCCGTGCCTTACTTGCAAACATTCGTGCAACTGAGTGACTTTCTTTAAAATGCAAGCTTCTGGTTGCAATTGAGCTTCTTTCATTATCTAATAAAAAATTATTCAATTGATTATCTTTCAATTGATATCTTATTAAAATGCCTCCATAAATGATAATTTGAAATTAACTAGTATTAATTATAAAAATGATATAATTCTTAAGCAATGAAGCGATCAAATTTTACAATTTCTTTTTGGTTTCGGTAACTTGAGCGTTTGCTTTCAAGTTTTGTCGGCATATTCTTGGTGATCATAAAAAAAAGTGTATAGATGAATTATAATAATAAATGAAAAAGAATAATAAAATGACAGAAAATAAAAGTGGAGTACATATAGATTCATGATATTATTATTATATTATTAATTTAAAATTATTTTAATTACATTATATTTGATCTTTTTTTCATCAAACAAAATTACATGAAAATAATGAATATATTTTTATAAAAAAAAAAAAATCAAAATTATACACTTTAATAAATAGTTTTTCTCAATTTTGGGTATTTTACTATAATAAAATTATAATGAAATTATAAGAAAAATCATTAAATTGCAAAATTATTAATTAAAATCATACAAATTTATATTTTTAAAAAAAATCAAAATTATCAATTTTTAATTTTCTTCCAAATTAATTATGAATTCTCCAAATTTTAAGAATTGACAACTAATTCTGAAATTGTTTGTTGTTGTTTCCCTATTGAATAATATTGCTAGATTATCAGTTATAAAATCATATAATATATATATATATATATATATATATATAT